AAGATTGCAGGCTTAAAAGACCCACTTTGAAGACTTTATTTCAATACTATCTTGATATTCTCAAAACTGTCAACTGTTTCCATTGTAAAAGTCCCTAAGAGGAAAATAAATTCACAACTAAAAAAGTCAAATAGCTATCACAAGGCCGGGTGTGGTGGCGCATGCCAGTAATCCCAGCACTCGGGAGGCTGAGGAAGGAGGACTGCCAGGAGCTTAAGGCCAGCCTGGACTACATAATGAACTCAAGGCCAGCCTAAACTACATAGCAAGACCTTATTTCAAAAAAATCAAAAAAATTAAAAAAATAAATACAAAATAAATGATAGGTAAGCCAAATTTTTTCAAGGACAATGATAGGCTGGAACCTACACATCCCAGTTTATGAGAGCCAATTGTTTTTAGAAACACTGCAAGCCAGTTAAACATACCTATCATTAAAAATTAACTTATATAAACTCATAATTAATGTTTTACCTAGAAAAGGTAACATATATAACATAACATAATTAATGTTTTACCTACAAAAGGTAACATATCCCTTATGTAAAATGCCTGACACCAAAAGTGTTTCAGATTTCAGAGGTTTTTGGTATATATGCACAGACTTTACTAGTTGAGCATCCTTAATCTGAAAATCTGAAATCTGAAATGCACCAAAATCTGGAACATTTTCAGCATGATGCCAGTGTTTAAAATGTTTCAGATTTTGCAGCACTTTGGATATCAGATTTTCTGATTAGACATGCTCAACCTGTAATGACTCTCAATTCATCAGTTCTTATTTAACCACACTGAACCACTGTGACGCCTTTGAGGATGTCCATTTGTGTGTGGTAGAAATATAGTGCGGTACTACCTGCATCTCTGCCTAATTCTACTCTGATTTCACACTGATAATTTGAAATCAATCGTGGAAGGAGAAATTATACAACTAAAATTGGCAAATGCTACAAATCAAGGCCTTCTCCCTCCAAAGAACCAATTTTAAAAAGTTACCAACACCCACCCGTGTGGGAAATTGTAAAATTTTGATAAGGAGAGCTAGGTTAGAATGAGTAATATTGTAAGTTACTTGAAAAACTATGTCTTGAAAAATCACTGATGACATAGGGAAACATAAAATGGTGCGAGATTTTAAATTAGACCAGTGGTGACGAACCTTTGGCACACATGCTGCAGCGGGCTGCCTATCACTGACAGCTCTAAAAAGTTTGCTATCACTGAATTAGATCAGTTCTAGAAAACGCCATACAACAAATAAGTGAGCTTTCTTATTTCATAAAGAGGGATATGCCATCCATCTTTAACTACGTACTTTGATTTTAGGAGTTTAACTTTGACTTGGGGTCATTCTAATGAGAAATGAAGAACATACAAGTAGAAAAAGAACTGCCAGGAGTCACTGTTGAGTATTTCTCAGAACCATAATCCTAGTTCTAATATTTTTAAACAGAAAGAGGAAACTTTCCTAAAACACTAGATTTTGGGCTATATGGACATGTCACACTGAGCAAGGCAGACATGTCTCCTACAACTTTAGTGTTTTCACCGTGCCTTGCCTCATGGAGCAAGGCAGAGGCTGTGCAAGTGCTCACTAGCTTTCCGTGTTTTGGCATAAACCACGCAGCTCAGCTTGTTGCATCATTCTTTTACCTACTGAGGTTCCATGCAAAATGTCATTAGAAAAAAAATGTTCCTAGGAAGGGAGGGAGGGAGGCAGGGAGGAAAAAAGGCAGGGCAGACAGTATGTTAGAGAATGTAAGCGCGCGTGTGTGTGTACACGCGCGTATGCACACATGCATGCACACATCCATACCATCAGTACTTATGTATGCATATTCCAGGAGGAATGGCTTTGCAGTACATACACAAATTTATATTCCCACATATCTCTAGTAAAAAAGAATAAAATAAAATTACTGAGTATGTTGTACATAATCTAACTTTTAAAGGGAATAAGAAAACAACTGTAATTTGGACCTTTACAGAATTACATTATTGTGTCTTCAAAATAATTTTGTGTGTTACACTGTATCATTTGTAAAGCAAGGGCAACGCTATGAGACAGAGGAAGAGAAAAGGGACACAATATGAGAAGTCTCTGAAAAAGAAAATGTCACATCATAGAAACATTACCAGTTGGGATACTGTCTTCTCAAGAATACAACCAAATATCTTTCCAGCTAAAGTGTCTTTTGCATTGGAAAAGGAAAAGACATAAATGCATTAATTTAAATGACGAGAAATGCATCCATGTTTAAAGGCTTTTTTTTTCCTACAGCAAGCAAATCAATCAAAGAGTAAAGAGGAAAGTGCAATAATGATTGTGAGACAAGGCTTTATGGAAGATGAAATACCAGGAGCATGGAAGGTGCTGTGTTCCACAGACTTTGTTTCTTTGAGCTCTTCCACCCCAATACTAGCCAGGCCCATTTAGCTGAGCTTATGAAACCTGACAAGGGGACAGCCCACAGCAGTAAGGATGCAGGATAGTGATTTTATTTCTTATTTTATTCATTGCAGCCTCAGGGAGAGAGATAACGAGAACAGGAATGAAATCCAGGTCTCCTACATAAAACACTGCAGAACATTACCACTAGGTCACCAGGGGGAAGAAAAGAAGGAAATATTTTATTTTAAGAGTTTATTTGTTATAATCTTTATGGCGGAAAATTATTGGTTTTGGCTTGCCCAATGACATTAAAACTTTACTTTCATTAATCATACATTTGAGTGGTTGTTTTCATAAAAAGTTGGAGACTATTTACTGGATTTAAAATATTTAGCTACACTGTTTCTGAAATTGAAGAAACAAAAGACTACATGAACTTATAATTGTCAGGCAATTATAAAAATAGTCAGAAATCACTTTAAAATTTTTATCTATCTAATAATATTCCTGCTACTTGACTATTGGTTATCTTTCATTTATTACTAAAAAATGCTATGTATGTTCTGTCACTGATGAAAACCCTGAAAGTTCTGGAAGAAATTACCTGGGTTTGGGGCTTCTAACAATTTAAGGTTAAGAAATCCCATAGATGGATTAATGCCCAACTTGTGTATATTGGCCGAACCATGTAAAAGTTGTAATATTTGAATGTTTTTGACCTAAAAAATGAGAAGTGTATAAAATTCAATAAAATATATTAAACTGGCCCTGATACTCAAATGTTCTCTGTAAAATGGAAAATATTAGTCCTTAGCATTCTTGTGAGGTTTAAATGAACTACTCCACGTGGTTCACAGCACACAGGATAGTACATATCTGACAATCAAAAGATGTTAGGATGACTATGATAATGATAAAAGTTTATATTTTTCTACTTTGACATAGTGTCATTAGAATTTTAATTACACAAAAGAAAGAAAACATACAATATATAAAGAAACCATTACAATTAAAAGGTAAATTTAGTATGCCTACTGGATAAAAGATTTTTATCCAAAAAACAATTGTATTTCACAACCAGAAAGTGAAATGTAAAGAAACATTATCACTTGTAATATCATCCAAAAACATGATATGCTTATGAATAAATCTAAGAAAAATGTGCAGTATATACACATTAAAACATGCAACACATTATTTAAAACTTTTAAGTGAATGAATTTATTCATGGGGTACAGAGTCAATAGTATTTTTATGTCTATTCTTTCAAGATTTACCTATATATTCATTGTTACCCCAAATCAAATAGTTTAGCTGAATAATTTATCAAAAATTACAAGCTACTTTTAAAATTTATATGAAAAATATAAAGTGGCAATCTTAAAGAAGGAAAACAAAAATGGAAAATAATAATACTATACTGTATTTTAAAAAGCTGCAGTAATGAAGACTATTCAAAACTGGCTCAAGCACAAAGAAGATTTAGGGAACAAAGTAGAACATGTGGAAATAAATCTATAGAGCTGTGAGGACCTGGTGATGATGACCACGGCATCTGAAGAGCTGCAGGAGGCAGTCTTCAGTTACTGGTACTGGCTCAAATGGTTTAGAAAACTTACAACATTATTTGGAAATACCTTTGACTCTGAGGTAAGAAATGAGTTCTTTAAAGGAACAACCTCCTCCTCCAAAAATCAAAACAAACCAAAATGCTGAATAAGACAAAGTAACTTTCTAAAGTTTTCCTAATCAAAACGCTAAATAAGAATTAGTAACTTCTGATTACTAAAATACACTATTAAGAGAGTGAAAGGGCAAAACAGAATAAAAAGATGTGTATCAAAGATTTGCTTCTGAAAAACATAAAGAACTCTTTATAAACTAACATAAAAAAGACAAGGAACTCCAATTAAAAAAACTTGGAAAGGTACCTCAAATAGAAAGCTATCAGTTCCCTGTAAATATAAGGTGTTCAACTTCATTTATAAAGGACTATGTAAATTAAACCATAATTATTTATCACTATATACCTAACAGAAAGATTAAAATATAAAAGACTAGACTAAGTGTTAGTAAGGATTAGAGTAACTAGAATTTCCTTACCCTGCTGCTGAAGTAGAAATTGATTCACACTTTTTTGATACAAACATTTTTGAAAAAATTCAGAAATATTTACTCAAATTGAGTTATGATTTGCAACTTAACTACAAAAATAGAAATCTTCCTTATCATATTTCTGCAACAAAAATTAACTGCTATTTATAAATGGACTATTATATAGCAATGAAAAATAACCTACTGGTGCATTCAGTTATGGATAGATCTCAAAAATATAATACCTGTACAGCAAATCAGATGCAAAGGAATACATATAGGATGATTCTGTTTATAAACTCCAAAAAGCAGGAAGAACTACCTTTGACATTAGAAGTCAGGACAGTCATCATCTTAGAAGGAAAGCAAGACAGCAGCAGGAGGATGCACGGGAAGGACAATGTTCTCGTTGGTTCACTCAGTTCACTGCAGTGGCTCACTAAGCCGTATACCTATATTTTATGTACTTTTCAGTATGTGTTTTCTTCCGTTAGTGCATATTTTTAAAGCTTACCTGTTTTTTCTGTGTTCTATTCCTGTTTTCCAGCCAATCATCCATTTGCTCCTCAATTTCCTCTATAGAAGTTCCATGATCGTAAGACTGGATATACGTGCTTTCTAAAGGTGTGTATGTAGGAAATTCAGGTTTTGGCTTTTTAACTTTAACTTTCTTCTGCTCTAAAAAAATGTTTAAAAGAACCAATTATTGAGATTTGTTAAGAATAAACAATTTTAACTATTCTAATGTTCTTCATATTTTGTATCTTAAAAGATCAAATTTTTCATCAAAACAGAATTGCATTATGATAAATAACTGTGTATACATCATTGCTATATTTTTATACTTGATCTTAGCCAAAAGGCTAAGAAGCAATCATTGCAATATTTTTAAATAAAACCCAGAGATGATGCTGTAATGATTATGACAAAATTACCATATCAGTTTGTATACACCTTCACTTTTAAAGTACTTTTGTTAAATTTCATTTTGGTAAAATGGAAAGAGCTTTAATTTAATGGCTTAATCCTATCATCATCATCATATATGAGTTAAATAATACTGGGCAAGTAACTTAATACTTAGAACAAATGTCCATTTTAAAAAATCTATTCAACACAACTGGCTCTCCGTAACTGGTATACATTTATTTTCTCAGTACTTTACAAAGACAAAATCTAATCTGGCAGCATCAAGAGCAGTCATCACTATAGTCATGTATTGCTTATGATGTTTCTATCCATGAATACACAATGCTGGTCCTATAAGGTTATATCACCTACTAATGCCATAGCCACCTCAATTTGCATAAAGCATACTTGATGATGTTCCCACAAGGATAAATGACCTAATGATAGACTTCTCAGAGCATATTCCTATTGTTAAGCAATGCATGACTATGGATGGCTATCAACTTGGTTCTCTATTAAATCCCATTTTGATTAGAGACAACACAGAGAAGCTAATTCATTCTTAATTACTGTTATCAAACTCACCCAGCTCATAACCATATTTTGAACACCCTGTGTGTTCATGTACTATAATGCCAATGTAATAAAATCAGTATCAATAAACACAAATTTCTACAACACACAAATATTTCAACTCAATGAGAAAATGATTTACTAAATAATGCAGGAAAATTGAATACCTATTTGAAAGAAAAGTGGACACAATCTTATAACCATACATACAAAAAAATTTCAGCTAGATAAAATTTGATTTTAAAAGTCAAACAATAACAACTTGCAAAATGAAATCTAAAAAACCTTTAAGTACTACTTAAAGGAAGATGATATCTTAAAGACTGAAAACCCAGATTCTACAAAAAAGACAGAAGATGGAATAACATATCAAGAGAATAAATTTGGGAAGAATATCTGCAATTCTGAGAACAGAAGGCTGGCATAAAGATTATACAGATTACATAAATTGACAAGGGCATAGGCAACCCAACAGAAAAATAGGTAAAGGTCACAAAAAGGTAATCCACAAATGACTATATCCACATGGTCAAGAAACAACAAAAGATGCTCATGTTCTCTAAAGGATTAAGAAATACAAATTTGAGTAATACCAATATCTGATTTTAAACCTATTATATGGGTAGAAATTTAAAAATCTAACAATATGTTTGGGCAGGAAAAAGACTACCTCTAAGTTGGTGGTAGAAATGTGAATCACTGTATTACAGCCTTTTGAGAAAGCAGTCTAAGAGTATCTATTAAAATTAAAATATCTAACCTTTCCCCCAACAATGGAAGCATTAGAATGTAACTGTATGTGTATATAGGTGTATATGTGTTTGTGTGTACAACACAACTTATTATTTTGTTATAGAGATACAAAACAAGTAACATTAAGCGTTTATGGGCCAGAGATAGAGCTCAGCGGCACAGCGCCTGCCTGGCAAGTGCGAGGCCAAAAGTTCAATTTCTGGTACCAAAAAAAAAAAAAAAAAATTTAGTGCTTAGTAGGAGAAATGACTGAATAACTATTGATGATGCATCCACACTAAGAAATACTATATCACCATTGAAATAAAGTATAGATGGGCCAGGGATACAACTCAGTGGCACAGCGCCTGCCTGGCAAGCACAAAGTCCTGAGTTCGATTCCCAGTACAAAAAAAAAAAAAAAAAAGGATAGAAACTGACAAACGAGGTTTCCCTGAGTTTCAGTAATAAATGAAATATACAAAAACACATCTAAGACTGCATATTTGTAAAGAAAAATAATGTTGCTCCAAATCCCTTTATGTGCATGTGTATATATTCATATAAATATATTTGAGTATTAATATAAGCATGGAGAAAACTATGAATGAATACACCAGTGTGTGTGTGGGGGCAGACAAGGAAGAGAGACAGTATAGAGAGATAAACAATAAAGAAAAGATCAGAAACGCCAGAGTAATAGTTTATACATGTATATTTATACATTTTATAAAAGTATATACATACACGTATAAATAAAATTTAACCCTGTACAACATAAATCTATCTGGAAGTTCATTAACTTGGTGCTACTTTAATAATACAAGGCTTAATTTTACCACTTAACATTCTGTACTTGGCAAAAACCTTACACATACTTTTTAAAAAGTAGATGTTTTTAAAACTGAATGTCAAGAAAACCACATAGTTCTTAAAAGAACTCTAGATGCAGTTTAAATTCTGCCAATAAGACAGATTAAAAAAAAACAAAAACAAACAAAAAAAAAACAAAAAAACTGAATGTCTTTTTCCAGCTTCAATAAAACTTACATCATTAGTATAGACCCCAGCATCATGAATTTAATGAACACATTATATTTCATTCAGCAAAAACAAACATTTTTTTTTTGCAGCATGATGTTTATATGGAGAATTTTGAGTTAAATAAAAATATATACTAACTTAATACAGGGAAGAATCTTATGGAAGTTTCATACATTTTGGTTTCAAGATAGATAGATTCCAAGAATGATAATTAAACCTGACAAAGGCAAAAAACATAGTCAATCAACCAACCAACCAAAAAAAAAAAATCAAACAACAAAACCAAAAGAGAAAAAGTAAAAGCCATAATTTATTAAGTGTGTAGTGAATGAAGGGAAATGGTTTTCTCTCAAAAGAAAATTTTATTTGGTAAGATTATTTCAAAAAATGATAAATGAGCCAAATATTATCTAAAGCAAGAGCTTCAATTTAATGCTCCTTCTAAAAAAACAGGAAGAAGTTTAGGCTCAGGAAAAAAAAAACTGCTGGGGCTGGGGATACAACTTAGTAGTAACACTAAAAACAAAACAAAATGCACACAAAAAAATAAATTCTGGCCTAAATAATCTGTCTTATTACATACTTGGAAACATAAACAACTTCATTTTTGAGCCAGCTACTTTTATCACATATCTTTTGTCTCAAAGTATAAGAGTATTTTTTATGCCAAGACATAGTCACCAAATCATGATTTGGACTCTTAGGCCACAAACCTGAGGTTTTTTCAGATATCACTTGTACCCTGATGCTACTGAAAACAGTGGAATACAGTTTAAAATCACAGTATCTTAAATATATCTTTTTCTAGTGAGCACTGGAAATTTCTCTTGGACAAATGTTCAGACAATAAGCATTTGTGCAAACAAGACAGAAAAAAAACCTGTAGCCATACCCTCTTCCTGCCACAGAGGCTAATGGGGTGCCAGGACTTGTGCAACTGCCAGCCTGACCACCCTCCCCACAGGGTGCTGCAAGAAGTCTAAGAGGTAATGAGAATCCCCTCCCTATGGAGTCAATGCGACCATATGAGAAGCCTGGCTTCTAAGGAGCCTCACAGAACAGACGCAAGTTTCACAGGCCCGGCGGTACTGGGCGGCATGCCTCCTACAGGACCAGCAGTGGCCAGTGGGGACAGTGAGGACGCCTTCCTGACTCTCGCCCAGACAGACGCTTCCACTGAGGCCTAGGAAGACCCACACCTGGCCTCCTTCTCAGCTACAGGCCAGAGAGGAACTGAGGACTTCTAGCCCAGTACTGCTAAAGGGTCGCCCTAGAAGACCAGGTCAAATAGCAGATGTAAGGATCCACACGTATCATAACACAAAATCCCCTATGTCCACATGTATGAACAACAAACTTTTAAAACAAATGAAGAAATACAAAGTCCCAGCAAGGAAATAAAAGACCTATAGAATTGCCAAATAGAAATGTTGGAACTAAAAATAAAATGTAATGGTGGGCTTTATAGCAGAATAGAGCAGACAGGGAAAAACAATCAGTGCATGCCAAGATTAAAAAAGAGAACCCAGAACTCTAGTAGGAGTCTGAGGCGGGATGATCACAAGTTCGAACCCCACCTGGGCAAGCTTGTAACTTAAAATAAAAAACCTGTGCCTCAAAATAAAAGATGAAAAGGGTAAGAGTGTAGCTCAGTGTGAAGGCCCTGGTCTCAGTCCCCAGTAGTGAAAAAATATGAAGTGGGATGGATGCAGCCAGAGTAATACTCAAAAAAACTATCCTAATACACTCATGAAGTAGATACATAAAATAGATATTTGAATAGTTTATAAAGGAAATATAATTTGTAATTTAAAAATCTAAAAAAAAGATGGTGTCACCAGAGAATTCTGCCAAACATTTACCCCAACATTACACAATCTTGTTTAGAAAGTAGGAGTGAACACTTCCTGACTCATGATAGGAAGCTGGAATTAGTATGATATCAAAATCAAAGAGAACAAAAAGAGAAAATGAATGCTTATGGTTGGAAAGTTTGTGTCCTCTCCAGAACGCGTGCTGAAACAATCTCCATAAAGCTGGGCCCTTCCAGCAGGCAATTAGGTTACGAGGCATGGGTCCTTTCTCAGGAACTGAACTAGATTAAGCCCTTAGAAAGCAGGCTTCACCAGACCCAGGAAGAAAAGTATTTACACATTCTCGGTCCTATGTGTGAGCTGCTGGGGGGATGACGGGGGCATGGGAGTAGAAGGGAAGCTACTGGAGGAAGGGGACAAAGAGGGGAAGGGGAGTGACAGCTTGGTCTTCATGTGTTATGCGTGTGACAATGCCACAATGAAACCCTCTACTCTGCATGATTACAAAGTGGTCACTACACACAGCAACAAGAAGCAGCTGCACACAGTTTGGTTCTTTTCTCTGTGCTCCTTCTACCATGCAAGGACATATCATTTATTCCCTTC